GTGTTGGTCCAAAGTAGTCGTATATGCAAACAAAAAACAAAGAGGGCGACACGATGAGCTTACAACAAGCAGAAAGCAAAAGATTCATTGTCCAAAAAATCTTTAGGGTATCTTTGGGACAGTCAGCTGCTTTGCAACGTCTAATACCAATGCTGTTTGTTTGTTTGTTTGTGTATTGTTTTGTCCCAAAGTGGCAAAAGATTGCCCCAGCTTCCGTTGGTCCTCGTCCTTTCAGGAGTGGTGTATCTCGCTCCACACACGAATGAAATTGAGACCCCTGGTTTATACCATCGATGCTGAACTTAGTAATATGTCGTGGTATCCCACGTCCGCAGGTCGTCAGAGAGCGTCGTTAGAGGTTTGTTACGTCCACTTTGTCGATCACCGACGAGCTCCGATGGCTATTTTAGATGGATGAATCCAGGAGCTTTAGTGACCAAGATGGAATTCCAGCTCTGGTACTGCCGCTATTAAAGATTATACATTTAGGTCCCTAGAGAATACCTTGCCTAAACGAAAAAGCTCAAACTCACACGTTTATACTGCAAGGGTAGCAAATTCTTCTCACCCGAGGGAACGTTCAAAGTCAACGAAACCTATACCGTAGTCTGGATTGCAGTTCTACTTTAGACAAACGTTATTACACGCATTGTAACAGAGGAGCGGTCTCATGAGACAGGCATGACGAATTGTCTTATGAACAGGAAGTCTTGATGTGCTTAATTTGGCGAATTGTTTTAACAGGTTTAATTTTTTCTCGTAAATAACAATAAAATCATCATACTAATATTATATTTCCATTATTTCATCTGGCAGTTATATAAAATGTTAACTCAACGAAATAGAAAAAGTATTTTTGCTTTTCATTTCTGTTTTAAATTTTAAGCTTTTTTAAGCTTGTCTTATCGTGAATGAAAAGCCTGTATTTTTTTCTAGTTCGTTAACGGTTCCACTACCCTTGTTTTGAACGATCGATCATCGATGGTTGTATTGCTTCGTAAACCCTGTATTTTCTTCTTTTTTTTTTTTTTTGTTGCGTATTTCGGTAAGACGATTTTGCAGATTGTCCATTCGTAGGAGGATATACCGCCATCGGGAGTCCAGGAGCATCATTTGCGAGCATACTTGCTCGCACCAGCTCAGGTTCATTTCCAGAGTACGAAAACAGTTTTTATGTAGTAAAAGTCTTTATTTTGTTTGTCTTCGACAATATTTGCGGTTGGTAGATTTTGTAAGCAAGTAAATGAATAAATAAACATATTTTGAGTTACCTCAGATCGATGTGGTTGAAGTAGCGTCGCATATTTTCGGTAACGGTTCCTTTTTTGTGTGTGTGTGTATTTTAGATTTATGATTTAAGACAGCCCCACGGGAAACAAGAAGGACAAGCAAGACGAAATCTCAAAACACAGCTGTGAGTTTATTTTTCTGACTCGCCCTTTTCATAAAACGATCCCCACCATCCATAGAACTTCCTACCGTCAACCCACGGTACACGTCAAATACGCAAGGCCCAACGGCCCCGATGAAAAAAGAACGGTTGACGGTAGGAGGTTTTAGGGATGGTGCTGGTCGTTTTATAAAAAGGACGAGTCAGAAAGTTAAAATTCGCAGCTGTGTTTTAAGACTTCGTCGTGTTTGTCCTTCTAGTTTTCACTGTCTCAGGGTTGTCTTAAATTATGAACGTAAACCAGCTCGCCTGCGCCTTATCACTCATTTCAGCGTTTTGGGATGGTCATTTTGCATGTCGATTGCTTAAACGTAATGCAGTTGGGCTCCGACGGGGCACGACTGGATTTATTGAACCCCACCACAACTTACAAATAAGCGCCAACTTCATTATTTTTGTGTTGATTCTTTTTTCAGCGCTGGACGGCGACACCTTGTTGACGCAACTACTTCAATGAGTCATACGCGTTCTGAATGGTCGCTTTCTCGCCATAACACTGTATACGCAAAGAAGCACGCTTTCCGGTTCAATGAACTTCTATCATTTATTTATTTATTTGCGCATACCGCGACCTCACTTGAGGTCACTGCAGGAGTAGGAATACAATGATGCTCGGTATTGGTGAAAGAGAAAACAACAATAAGAACAAACATACATTTCAGATTGACCACACATTAATAGAAAAAACATCCATAACTGCTGAAATAGAATCATGGTACGCAAGCATGCGCGTGCGCCCGTCGACGTTATTCCACATCTCAACCGTACGTGGAAAGAAGGCATTTCTAAAACAAGTAATTTAAAACTTTCATGGCTCAATGCTTAAATGCTGAATACAATACAATACAAAATAATTTTTACTTGCTTCTTAAAAGATGGTTTAAATATAAATCCCACATAAGCCAATACTGGCTTGTGCGTGTGATCGCGTGAGATAGCAGCGACAGAAATGTATTTGGTACGCTCATTGCCACAGTCCTCATTAACAATTCTACGTCGCATTTTTATCAGCTCTATGATGCACCAGAAAGAAAGGGACTCGAGTCAGAGAGGTCATGGCGGTGGCAGGGGAGAGATGTCTGTCGTACCTGTTATAACTAGATCTGACTATTTTAGCCTGAACAGAATCGAGCAGATTATATTCGCCTTTTAAATACGAGTACCAAAAAACGAATCCATACTTTAAACTTGGCCTAACGAGGGTTTTATGGGCTATTATTTTACCTCTTTGGTAGAACATTTCCGAGTGAATTTGACGTATTCTAGTCATCTAAGGACGCGACGGGAATCAGATTTAACGTGCTTGTCTCGTTTAATGTTGGGAGTTAAATAAAAGTGTGGTGGAGAGATACTGAATTTGCTTCGACGCAAGACGGGAGTTGGCGCTGTGCCTTCCCATCAAATAATATCGAAAAATGGTGTGTGTGTTGGGGTTTGCATTCCACAAGGGAACACCAAAATGTGTCCTCCCCTCCTGATTGAGCCCTTTGGACAGCCATACGTATAAAAATATAAATAAATGTAAATACAAATCTTAAAAACATGAAAAGTAGTGTTGTGCTTCATCAACACGGGAAATAAATACATAAATAGGGAAGGTTCTAGAATATCTCCAATATGCTAAGCATAGCTAGAAAAGTACACTTATTCAAATGATAAATTACTATAATTTGTAAATCGTACTTAATCTCCACTTATGAAAATAGTTCAATAGTAATCAGGCAAAAAAAAAACGCTTAGAAAATATTCCGTAAGATAAAGATTTATACCCCATTTCGTTTACAAAAAGAAAACAAATTTAATGCAGCAAGAGTAGCCATATTGCCTTTAACAATTCTTGCCTTATATAATACTGAATGCACATTAAAGCGCGAACATGACACGTATGCTTTTTTTTAGTTACACGGGGTATCGGGGAGGGGCCACATTTAACTATTTGGTTTTTTTTCCCAAGTGGCCACTTAACGTAATAATAATAATAATAATTAATAATCACTTTATTCAAATCAATGTACTTCCATGGAGGAAACCAAGGAAAGAACTGTGCCGAGATAACTTAATATGTATTTGACCCCCTTATTTAAAAAACAGGGCTCATGCGCGCGAACATCAATACGCAAGAATAACAGAAATAAATTATACAATAATAAAATAAGCACTGAGTACAAAAAGAAATATGCACACTCATATGGTTTTAGGAAGACATCGCGAAAATCAGAAAACAAAAATTCCTTCAACATCAATATATTTCTCTGTTTTTATCCAGACAATTTTTAAGTTTGGGAAGCGTGAACTTAAGCATTAGGTAACCGTAATTATTTACACGCGTTGACATTTTCCAGTATTCGGTGTATCGAGTGGAGTATGTAGGTACAGTGCTAATCACACTTGTCTATAACGTGGGAGCGTGCGGCTTTCTCCGGGGAGCGCTAGACTGGTGGCATTCGCCGAAACTAAGCTAGTGACGTGGCACAACATGGACCGGCCCTCTCGAGGGGTGTCCTGCCCACTCTATCAGCTGGCGGCGAACGCGGAAGGCTGCTCGCACGCTTTTTACAAACATCATTGCTAGAACAATAAACAAACGATAGCGTGAAGGCGTATCAACGATGTCGTCATCAAAAAACAAAAAAATATAATTAAGCACTTTACTTTTATCGCTTATCAAGTTAGTAGAGTACGCAGGACACCCCTCGAGCGGGCCGTTCCATGTTGCGGCACGTGACTAGCTTAGTTTCCGCGAATGCCACCAGTCTAGCGCTCCCCAGAGAAAGCCGCACGCTCGCGCGTTATAGACAAGTGTGATTAGCACTGTACGTGGCATTGTAAAGTCACAAACTCAGCTAAAACATATCACACTAATAGCTTCGCCGGCTATTTTTTTAATAAAAAAAAAACTTCGTGACCGCTGGTTCGCTTAAAACCCCGTTCACACTCTTGCGACCGAGTACGACCGAGAGAGACGAGATCTGTCAAAACTTCTTAAAATTTCTTAAGACGAGGGAACACACAGGCATTCTGGCGCCATCTATACGGTGACCCTGGAACTGCGTTTCACAAGAATGAAGGTTTTTCGGGATTTCCGATGTCAAATGTGCGTAATACTTATAAGAACGGCTCGTTTATAACGTTAACAAAAGTTTTTCGAGCCAAGAAAGAAAGGATAATGCGCGAGAGAAATAGAAAATATGCCGGACCGCCAAGTTTCCACAGCTACCCAATAGATGGCGCCAGTGTGTCCTCTGGTTGTAAGAGGTTTTGAGGAACCCAGTTTTAAGAGGTCGTAAGAGTGTGAACGGGCCTTAAGTGTGCACACTCTGTACACTTACAGCATGATGCTCGTTGTTGTGCGCTTAACTTCCCTCGCCATCAAGGCAAATGGGGTATTGTTCAAAGGCAGTGTTACAATATTATTTTGTCATGTTCGCGATAGTATTTATTTTTTAACGTGAATAACACGCCCGAAGTACTATTTATTTTCTTTACGTTAATAGTACACCCGCGTAAGTTAGACACCAGAATGTGCAACTTGTTTGTGCCTCTGTTGCAGTGGTGCTGCAGAAGTTCGTGGCCAATGCGTACGACGTGTACGTCATTCGGAATAACGCGGCTCTGCTTCGATGTCACGTGCCCCCCGCAGTGAAGGATTACGTCAGAGTGACGTCGTGGGTTCGAGACGATGGAGTCACTGTTGGAACACTGGGAAGCACAGGTGAGTTCGCAGATTCAAACCTCTACACGTCCACATTAGATTAGAGTGGCAACTGATCGCAAACGTCAAAATAAAGACAAATGAAGTGGATGTTAAGGCGGGGTTAGTAGAGTACGCAGGACACCCCTCGATAAATTCGCCTTTGATCATCCGCCTTAATCTTTGATACCGTCTTGTCGAATCGCGCACTACTTCATGTTGTTCGCTTGTAGTAGAGTGGAACTTGTGACAATACTGATCATTTAATTGAGCTATCCAGCCACTAGATGACCGACTATTTAGACGTAAATCAATCATGGCGGAGAACCCGACCCGACCTGACCCGACCCGACCCTACCCGACCCGACCCGACCCGACCCGACCCGACCCGACCCGACCCGACCCGATCCGACCCGACCCGATCGTAGCAGGCACGACACGACCCGACCTGACCCAGCCCGACCCAACCCGACCCGACCCGTCCTGATCCCACCCGACCCTAGTCAACCCAACACGACCCCACCTAACCAGGCTTGGCCCGACCCAGGTCTTGACGCCTAAAGCACAAGCGCCCAAACATTATTGAATATAAGCATAATATTATTGTAAAAGTTATTTTGAAAATCTTGTTTTTTTTCAGATGTTCTCTTAATGTCCGAAAACATTTCAGAAATTATGCCATTGCACAATGCAAACTAAAATAACTGAGCAGACGTAACGTAAAACGTAACAGAAATACTCTCGAAAGGGTATGGCATTGAACTAATTTATTAATTTTCACACCGTACACTTTATTACGCTTTATTGGCTGTATAGATCTGTACAAATGAATCGCCGTATTTAGAAAGACAGGAAGCACGATCCGCATTCTCAATTTTAGATCCTCATTTACTTTTTTTTTACTCAGTTTTTCCTTCGGGTCTATTGACTATTTGTTCATTCCAACCACACTCCCGCTTCGTCACGACATCCAATATTTACTTCCGTACGCGACCGACGGGTCATATAGGGACCGAAATGTAATTGCACTCGCCCCTTATTACAAAAAGACATGCGACCGAAATGTAATTGCACTAGCCCCTTATTACAAAAACAAATAAACATGCGACCGAAATAATATTGTGTTGCACAGTCGAGGACGATGCAAGCTGAAACAACCAAGCGACGACCGAAACATACCGGTGACGCTGCCCAAACGAGAAAACTCTTCTATACTATAATCGAGAGCTCGCATGCAAACGAGATTGCCACGGCATATTATCTGACTCATGCAAGATGATGTTTGAAAACTGAGCGCTCGTACTTGTTCAGAACCAGAATGGAGATGATTCAGCGATGTATGTCTCGTTAATTAGACATGAGGAAGATACATAGAAAGGGGGACGGACAACGAAGACTTCCATGGCGGAAGTCTTCGTTGTCCGTCCCCCTTTCTATGTATCTTCCTCATGTCTAATTACCGTTACCAACACGCTCGTTTTGTACTTATGTCTCGTTAATTTCGACACCTCTGTTCTTCCCGTAATGCGTCCATAATCTGAGTTGAAAAAACAAAAACAAAAAAAAAACTTATGGTTTTTGTCGGCTTGCCACTGAAAATGCTGTATAAGTAGATAGCGGAGTAACCACTTTACCGGGGTCTGTATTATCGAGACGATGATGATGATGGTTTGCGGCTCTTCCCTTTTGAATGGGGCGGTCCCGTAGAGTTGAGGACCTAGCCAGTGGGGATTCGTTTATCCCCTTTGGTGAACTAGCATCCACCAGTTCTGTAGTTTTCGCTTCCTGGTTTCCACCAGCTCACGCCACCCTCCGTTGGTTATAGGTTATGACTGCACCGTCGCGCCATACTGCGGCTTCCTCACGAACTGCCCAATTCCAAAAGTACGGCGAAGCAGTAAAAGAAAAAAAAAAAAAAAAGAAGCAAGCTTATACCTGTGTTTGCAAAGCAAACTTTTGATAACACCTGTTTCTCAAAACGAAATATGTGCCGCAACTAACGAACAAACTATAAATAAACTACCGGAACACGAAATAGCTGTAATCCAATCTATCTCGCCGTAACTCGGTTCCGGAGGACGTGAGGGGTCCGAGTTCAAATAACCAGTTCCCCTACTGCGTTGTTTGAGCAACGATGACCAAATTCAAACCCCAATATTCGTGGTTTTAACCGCTCACAAGAGAGGCAGGAGTTCGATTTATTATATATTGAAACGCTCGTGCTCTTGCTCACCCGAGAGGCAAGAGCACGAGCGTTTCAATAAATAATAAATAGAAATAAATGTCAAAAACGAAGCGTACGAGATTAACTTCTGCATAACTAAATATTTTCACATTCAGGGCATTTTGAACTTCCGCCTTATTTTGCTCACTTTGCGAAAACAGAGAGTCAGACTTTCCAACTTGCGCTCCAGTGCTTGCTTGCATGTTGAATACTCGGTCGCGTATATTTGAATGAATAATAAGCTTGTTAACCTGATTAAATGCTATCGCGGAGCTAGTAGTCTCATGTAAGACGCTCTCGAACACTTCCATTTATATTCGACGTAAAAAAACAACAATTGATTAAACATTCCTTTGCAGGACTGTTATTAACCGAGGGCATACTTTGCTTAAAACAACTCGTCTTTGTGGGGTTCTCTAAAATATGCAGAATGTAAATGAGAGATTACATTGATCTTGTACTTCATGCACTCTCCATAAAGCAATGGCAAATGCTAAATACAACGCGCCTCGTGACTTGGAAGGACGCCAGAAATAATTAAAGTTATAGAGTCGTTTTTGTTCTAAAAACGAAGCTGCGATCCGATTAAACACGCCAATTTTATGTTTTTGGACGCGCCAAAAACAAAATAAATTTAGAGCATGTCACTTGCTCAACCTTAGAGCACCTTTTGTAGACATTGTTCAAGGAAGATCCTGTGTTATTAAAAAACATTACAAGAAACAATAATTTTGAGATAAACGTTCCGTACTTATTACAATACCTAAATTTCCACTAACTATTTTTGACAGCTCTCGTTTGTTTTTTTTTTATTCACAAGTGCTTGAATTGAAGTCATAATATAGGCGTGCTTTTATTTTAGTTTTCTATGAAGACTTTATAGTATAAGCTTATTTTCTCGTTTGTTTAATTTTATTAAATAAATGGCAACCTATGTTGAACGCCGCCGAAAATAAACGCCTGAAACGTTAATTATGTTATTGGTTAGTTTAATGAATCATTGGCTGAAAAGGAAACTTCCAATGCTATTATTTTATATGGGTATAGTTTTACAGTATTCTTTCTGTCGATCTAAAAGAATCAGTAAATTCCTGCCCACCGTGTCACGCACGACATGCTCAGATAAAACAAGAAAAGCCTCATGTAACAAAATCGCACCGAATGTTTTGAAGCGATGTCTGGCGTCGCTTTAACTGCCCGTCCAGACATTACACCGTCTCATTCAATGGGACCCCTGGGAGTCCTCGAAAGTTTCTTTTATTGTTATGGCCTTCCGCTGAACAAGGTGTTTCTGAAACGGGAATATCGGCTACTTTTTTGTGTGATCTTTGACCTTCCATCCATGTAGTTTGAATCTACTTGTCGGTTTCTGCGAGCATTGCTGTAATTTGGGATTCAACGAATAGATTAAAAATCAGATCATACACGATGAGTCTCGCATTCGATAATATGTGTGTGTTTTTTGTGTTGATGTGTTGGTCTTTTTTTTTAATTTTCGCAGTTTGCAAACCCAAAGGTTCGCGAAATATTAGAAATGTGCTGGTACTACGATATTTTTCTTTGTTTAGTTGACATCCGTGGCATTAGGCTGTGTAGCACAACTACATGTAATAAAAAAAAACGTATTTTAAAGACTGTAATTAGAGATCGTACTCGTCGCTACAGCGCAGCTTTGTGTTAGTAGAATTGTTTGGAAAAAAAAAACAATGCAGTAGATATGTTGCGTCTGACATCAGTGCTCGCAAGATTTTTTTATTAATATTATTTACTTAACGTTGTTTGATAGAAAGCGTAGAAAATGTACCCACCGGAAGGACAAATGGTGTCCAAATTCAGGCAACTACCAATTTGCTGGAAAATATATGAGCTTCTATCAACCTGCGCTGTTTCACACAGATGAGCGGTTATCGCGAAAGGAGTGCACTAAACATTCCTGATATCGATCCTCTACATTTTCAGGAAGCTACTCATATCCCCAACACATAACGTTTGACAATTCCACGAAGGCAAACTGCCCAAAAAATTATCAATGAGTTTCAATCGAGTTTCCAGTCTATTCTATAAGAACACATTAGAAACTCAATAGACCGATCTCGCCAGCTAGTTTGACTATGCCACCGCTGTCGCAATGCATCGAGGAAACGTTAGTCTTTCTGCACGTGCGACAACCATCCTGGGACACTGCACGTGTAGATCACGAGACGGCACGAGCCCTTTCGTGCACTGCCGTCTGACTCTTGTGAACTAAAGTCACGACGGCGTCGAGCATGCGTAGAACGCTGGGTGAGATCGGTCTATTGAAACTCATTGATAATTTCTGTAAGGGTGAATTCGATAGTCAGCATTCAATCCGTAGATTGAATGCTGACTACATGACGCCTACCGACCTACCTACATGACAGCGTAAGGCTGGCGACGTCCGTCTGTAGACAAAGCAGTAGAAAGAGATGGCGAGTGGTGAAGGACAAAGGCGAGAGGGAGGTGACGTCACGGGGCGGAAGCCAATGCGCGCACGAGTAACCGGCGAACAGCGAAAACAGCGTCAGGCAGCGAATGCCGCTGTTAAGCGTGCAAGGCGGGCGGAAGAGACAGAGGCGCAGAAGCAGCGCCCAGTTCGGATGGCCCAATTGCGTCGCAAGAAGCGGCAAACCGACGCGGGTTTGCGTGCGACAGAGCGAAGGGGGCTCGGCAAGCTCACTTTACCGGAAAAAAACAAACAGGAAGATCCATTAGTGGATTGTTAAGGAATTGGTTAGCATGACCCGTGGGAAACGCCACACACGTCTCCTTTTGGAAA